GTGTGTGTGTGTGTGTGTGTGTGTGTGTGTGTGTGTGTGTGTGTTTAGAGGGGATTTTATACATCAACGCCTCTTTACAGGTCGTGGAGAGTGTAGATGCATAAAAAAAAAAAAGTAGTTCGAAGCCTTAAATTGACTCAAGTGATGTCTGAGGGTTGAAGACTATATGTTTTTTAAAATAAAAATAATCTGGGGGTTGGAAGAAGTGATCTTACCAGACCTCTGTAGACCTGGTTAAAGATTAATTTAGGCAAACTTCTTGTACTGCTTGTTTTTAAACATTTGAGATGTTTGGCTTCTTTTGTTTGATGGGGAAAAGGATGTTTATGTTTCATAAAGTAAGGCACTGAAAACCGTATTGATTTAGCATCAGTACAGACACTCGTATTGGGAAGTGCCACTCAGCTGTACTCCAAGCACGTTGCAGCTCCTAAGAATCAATAACCCAGTTTTTTTTATTTTCCCATGTTGTATTCTGTATTTCCAGACGGTGTGTGCAGTTCTCCTCTCCCCAAGTTTGCCACGTCTCCCAAACCTAACAACAGCTACATGTTCAAACGGGAACCTCCAGAGGGCTGTGAGAGGGTCAAAGTGTTTGAGGAGATGGTGTAAGTATTATTTTCATCTTACAATGTGTTTGTGGTTCACTCGCCATGTGTGAGCTGATTGTTGAAAGAAAGACAATAGATGCAGTTCACCGTTAAGAGGACAAAGCCGACGGGCTTATTTGCATTGTGGGTGGCAGGGTTGAGGGCATAACGGCTGTGTAGGATAAACAACTTGCATTTGATCAAAACAGTCTTGTAAATGGAAAATAAAAGGCAAAAGTATTGAGCTTGGCTTTTCTTCTTCGTCTTCAGTTCCGGCCGATCAAAAGGCTTCCCTCTCTTCTCGTGCCCTGACAAAAACAAGGTGAACTTCATTCCCAGAGGCTCCGCCTTCTGCCCCGTCAAACTCCTGTGCTCCTCCCTGTTCTCCCCCATCGCTCCCTCGCCCTGCTCCTTGGCCAACGACGGCCCGGGGCCTCAGGTGACTCCGACTCTGCCCACCGCACCACTAGCTACCTTTCCGGCCTCCGCCGACTGGAGCACCGACACGAGCACGGGCGTCAACGCAGACGACGGCACAGACGGCCAGAGCCCCGACACGGATGTGGGGAAAGACGGCTCAGCACAAGTACTCCTCACCAGCTAGTCCTCAGGTATTCACAGCCAAACCACCTGCAGCTGAAACACTACAGCGGCTCAGGTGGTATGGCTTTAAAAACAACAAAAAAAACACACAAAAAATATCCTTGCACTCCGTTAATCCTAACGTAAGCCAGCAGGGAGTGCCCAAGGTCTAGAAATGACAAACACAACGTAGGGTAATGGTACCAGCATCCTGCTGCACGAGCTTGATGGTTAAGTCTGGACAGAAATGACCAAACTGTGTCCTGGCCTTGGGCACCGCCTCCCTTCACCCATCGCTAACCTAGCTTTCTCCTCTGTACCGGGACAACACCCATAGCAAAAATACCGTTGCTTCCTTTAGCAAAGAGAAAAAGAACTGCTCAGATAATCTTGTTATGTGACACCGGCAGTTTTATCTAGAAAATCTTTCACCAGAGACGGCTGTGAGGTATCAGAGAAACATCTACTACTCATGTTATCTAACCAGCTTATTGGCTGTTCAGTGTTCAGCGTGCTAACATCTAAAGTACATATACGTAAGCTTTTTGACAGGATGGGAAATGCCAGATTCATGGATGTCACAGAGTCACAATGCATTGCCCCACGTTAACCACAATGTTTGCACTTGTTAAGACACGGCTCCCAATGATACCGGCCGTGGCCTATTTCTTTTTTATTTGTCTGTTTCAAAGTATTTGTCGTTGTGAAACCAGCAGTTGCTTGAGCGCTCCACCCAACGGGCTAACAAGCCGAGACCTAGATCTGCTTTTGTAGTCTGATCACTATTCATTAGCTCATCACTAAAGGCAAATGACAACTGTTTTTCTGAGACCAAATAACCAATCACAAAGCACACAACCCTCCCTTTGCCCTGTGGTAATGCTCCACACTACACAGAACAAGAACTCAGGTCATGTGGAATGTACTTGCTTGGACTATGTTGCCTTTCCCCAGTGTTTCTGACTTTCCAGTCTAGGGCAGAATGGTTTTATTTCCCTGGAGAGGGAGGTTATTACGGACTGAATCAACGATTGGTGTCGCACCTCGCGACGGATGACCTTTTAGCGTTAACCTGTTCAGGTTTAGAGTTTCAGGTGCTATGACGCATTCCAGAGATCGCTGTTGAATAGGTCAACCGTGAGTACTCGTGTTAGCGAAGCTAGCTACATAAGCTACACCCTCCCTAATTGAGACGTTGACATACATGTCATTTGTTTCTCCCCTTTTTATTGAATACGTACCAAAGCAGGCCTGTCACGTATTTGGGACACAAGAGGCACCGTTTTAGTGCCAGAAGTAGAATGTTTATGTGCATTTTGTTTAGTTGATAAACAGTTCAGCGCCTTATAAACACCGGTTCATAGTGATTCAAACACAGCCGATAATCACTGAACCAAACATAAGCACTTACTTGGAAGTGAGATGATAATCACTATTTATTTTTTATTTTTTAGACCAATTTGTAAGTCGAAACAATCAGAACTTAAGTGTGCAATTGATTTTTGTTTGACATAAAGCTACACTAAGAGTTTTTGTGTAACACAGTTTGGCTCAATATACAGATCCAACGAGATGCTCCCTGCATGAGCTGCATCACCGGAACGTACTAAAAAGTAAAACGTGACTTATTGAGACCATGTTGGCGTTGAATGGGAGAGTTAAACTAGTAAATGTTTCATTCCAAAACTTGCACACAGACAATAAGAACCGTATGCAAGACATTCCACACAAATGAAAAACTCTCCTCTGCTTGCAGCTCTAAGAGTTTCAATTAATAATTCTGATTATTTTTATTCACAAGCACATTGTGCAGTGCAGATATGGTTGCCATGTTTGGCAATGATGATTCAGTTCTCCTGTGTATTACGCATTTATATGCAGATCTTGTGTTTGTTTCTTTTTCTTTTTCAATAAAGAAAACAAAAAAAAGTCTCTTTGGATGTTATATAATCTTTTCGAAGGCCATAGACGGACGCAGCGACGAGTTAAACCAGTATTCAGAAGCATTTATATACACATAGGAGTCAAGGTAAGGCAATCCATGGATCTGCTTATGATTTAAATATTAACAAATGTCACATGGCTTCAACATCAAAAATAACACATGGCTAAATTCCAACAACATAAATTCACAATAAATATACTTAATAATTAATCAATTAATTATGAGGTTCTATAATGTTTTGTGATTAGATTAAGGAGTTTACTCTGAGAGAGAGAGAGGTGTGTATATATATATATATATATATATATATATATTTTTTTTTTTCCTCCAATTTATGCAGCATTGTAGTCAAAATCAGTTTAACATGATTGTATTAACATGACAACTTTCCAGTTATTTTCATTCTGAAAACTGCATATATTTCACATGAAAGCCAACAACGGAGCTAAATAAATACTAAAAAATATAATACACTGATTAAAAATCTCACATTGATATAAATGCATTGTTCATTCAATCACACTTTTACTGGGTAACATAAAACAAAGCATGCAACATGCACTAATACACTAATTAGCAAACGTTTAAAAGCATAAATCTTAAGTCAAATGTGGTGCGACAGTTTCCTATAATTCTGATCAGTGCTCGAAGTCTGTAACAGATCGATGGCAGAAATATATCTTGCGTTTATTTTTGAATATTTCTCCGAGGCTGCAGCAACTTTACCCCACATGTTTCGGTATTTAGTAAATATGAACTATCGCACCGTGATCTTTGTCATGTTTGCGTTCTTTCCGCTGTTGAGTTGTTTTGCCTGTGAGCAATCATCAGTAATGAGGATCAGGAATGAAGCATGAATGCTACTCGAGACTACAGATTTTCAAGGCAGCTAATGTCAAAGGCTTCTTCTTCCAGACTGGTACTGAGGTATCCACGCTAAGCATTGCATGTTTAACCCGAGTGAACGAGCTGACGGGCTTCATACGCTCCTCTTCTAAACGTTTCTCTTCTTTCTCAGTGGAAAGGTTGTCAGTGGGAACCTTTTCAGCAGAGTAATACTGCCAGCAAGAGAGAAGGTCCATCAGTTTCATGTAATAACAGCAACATTTCTCTTGTTATAACAATATGTCTCATTATAATATCATACTTTAATATATGTAATTTTATTGTTACTACGATTTTACTGTTATTACGACACTCGGTTTATCTTTGTATAAGATATTATAGTACAGGATGTCATTATATTAAAGGATATATATTGTTGTAACAAGAAGAAGAATTAATTATTAATCGGATTAACTTTCTGATTTATTATATAATTTTCCACCCAAAGATGTTAAGTTTACGACCAAATGGTAAATCAAATCGTCAAACTCTCAAATATATTTGGCATTTCTACTCGAATAACATTTGCTTTGTTTATGTTCTGATCTACTAATTGATTAATTGAAGTCGAAAGAGAAGACTGTGTTCGGCTCATGGTATTTTTCCTCTGGTCGCGCGGGGGAAGCTTTATTCTGCTGCACCCTCCAACAAAGGTAAAGATACCCCCATCGGATCACCACGACACTGAGGAAGAACTATGCGTTGTGGAGTTCGTGCTCTCTGCCGGTTTTGCCGACCGCGTCGGGATTGGAGAGGGGGTCCAAATCGGCAAACAGGTTGAACCACGCTGAGAGGTCTTTGGACATCCCCGCTTTCTCTGTTTAAAAAAAAAAAAAAAGTCAAGAAGAGTAAACTTAACTCAGACACACTGCCTAAAATATCCACCCCCCCACTTGTCCCGTAAAAGTCTGCCTGTGGCTGATATCCAGAATTATGAATGGAAACGACCCACAGATTCTTTGAAAGTACCCATAAACACAGGTTTACGTCTCATTGAATGAGTTGGTCTTTTTCTTTCAAGTCTTTTCATCTGTTTTGCTCGTTTGGCCCCGGACCTACCTTTCACTGCTGGCTTAGAGGGGTTCTGATTGGCTCCAGATGAGTGGTCCTTCGGCCGGGCGCCGGGCTGCGGAGCGATGCCGGCCCAATCTGAAATGTAGGACACAGATTTTAGATTTATATCGTCACACTCTTGCTACATACTTGCTGATGTGGAAGAATATTGTGTAATATAAAACACAAACGAGCAAGAATCCAAACGTGTATCACGGCAAAATCCCACGTGATGTTATTAGTGGTTTATTAGACGCAGGCCAGAAGTTGCAATAGCAACTTTTGAGGTTTTGTTTCAGGCAAATTTATTTTTGCTTTCATCCTTTTGTGCATCTAGAAAAACCAGTATGAAGCAGCACTAAATGCCAGCAGGAGAACACTGGAATGTGCTGTTTATATTGCATTTAGTAACAATTTATGCTCCAAATACAGGCTTAAAGTACTAAATAGACTCTTGGATCTGTTGGATATTGTTTGTACATTATGATGCTTCAGCAACAGCATCCAAACTAGTGGTACTTTTTTTTTTTCTCTATTTTTTTTTTTAATCCCCCCCCCCCCCCCCCAAATTGAAATTTTCTGCATGTCCAGATGTTTAAGCAGAAATTCATTCATTATTTTATACAAGAAAATCCTTTCGAACTGTTTAGTGTAACAGCTTTAGTTTAAAGGCTTTGGATGTGACTACAGCTTCACATCTTATTGGATGCATCTGAATGTGCTTGACTCTGAGGATTTGGGGATTTTCCTCCACAAAGATTTGTTATAGCTTTATTTTACATTCTTGGTCTCGAGCCATTTTTCTTTCGATCCAGCTGTTTGGGCCGTATGGTCGAGATCATTCAAGATTTCTGACTCTGGACCAGATTCCTTCCAGGATTTTGGTCAGATGGATGTTGTGACCTTTGGTCTCTCTTTCTCTCTGTGCCCATTGGATGTCTCTTGCAGGAGTCACTTTTTTTTCCATCACCAGAATCTCTGCCGTTCCTCCTGCAAGATCAGTCAAAAAACCTGGTATTTAAGTTCCCAGATCAGCCTCTTGAATGAGCTTCTTCCTGCTCAGTCTCCCAGACTAGTTTCATGAGCATGTCATGAAAGTGTGCAGCACTCTTTCCATATGTAGTGGTTTAACAACATCAAAATGAATTTGAGTGTCGATCGGTAGGTGCGAGTTTTGAGCTGCCAAACGTTATTTTGCACTCACAAGTCAGTCCCTGCCCGTGTGCGCTCCTCATGCACTCACTGACCGACTACAGCTTGAATTGGCTTTATGCTCATTCGGTGCTTCACAAAGTTCTGTGCATTCACGCCGCTGTGATTGAATTCTGTTGACGGCTCTTGGGGCAACATATGGTGATGGTTTATGCTCTGTCGTCCTGAAATATGGACTTTAAGCTGTAATACCAATTAAACTCAAGCAGGTTGAATATGTTCTGACGGAACCGATTGATCAGGCCCGAGTGTGCTTGACCAGCTGGACCCTCAGCCTCCCTTTCAAAACTCATCTCCATCTCGCCTGCCACGGATCCCATTGAACTGTTCTCATTCCAGACTTCTTTTTGTCAGCTTTATCGTTTTACTGAGGAAACGCATCCTGTAGTTTTTCATGTCTTGATGCCTTTTATAGCGGAGCTACTCAACCCTCCAAGCTGGAAACGGACAAAATCAACACAACCAGATGAGGTGCTAGCAGCTAGTGCCCAGACGAAATGGAAAGTAGTTGGCAATTACCTCCTGGTAAATCTAATTGCTGTGTTATTATACCCTCCTTCTATTACATTGACAGCCGTGGGTTTTATAAATGGTTTTAAAGCCACTTCTCTCTCTGTGTGGTCGAGTAGTTTTTTGCATTTGTTAATGCACTCATTCATGGAAAAACAATGCAAGTTATTTTTTAGTTTTCAGGCGTATTAATTCCACCTGAGTGCTTAATTAAATTAGTATTATAATTGTGGCTTATTTAGATGTTTTTAGCGAAAAGAGAATGGTGGAAACCTCAAGTGGTCTAATTTTTGACACAAAAAGCTTAATATATTGAAAACAAAAGAGCATTTTGCACATATCTACCATTTCTCTGGTTCACTCTAGTCTGGCTCACACAAAAGCGCACACAGACGAGTATGTTCTGACCTGAGAGGGAAGACTGTTGATTATTGAAGCTCTGCTCAAACAGATGAGACGGTAGAAAGAAGGAGCTTTCCATTTGGTGGGCCTCCGCCGGTCTACCCGACGCGGCGCTCGTTCCCTCCTCGGCGTCTCCGAACACTTCCGTCCACTCTCTGGAGAAGTCGCCCTCGTCCACAGACATGCTGCCCAGGATCTCGTTCAGTAAGGCCATGCTGTCCCTCTCCTCCCCCTCTAGCTCTGGATAGGCAGAGAGATGATCCTCATTACCTACAATGATCAGGCAAAGTGATCAGAGGACTGAAACAGTAGCGCATCATTACACCGTAACACTTCAGAATGTTACTGATGATTTGGTAGCTTATGTTTGTCTCATTCTCCCAAATACTTCACATTTTTATTCAACTGATTTGAAGTTATTCTACATTTCTTTGCTTTGCTTTTGTAAATGGTAGCTATAGGTGTTAAAGGAGTTTCTAAATGCAGTTTATTTCCATTATACTATAATAACATATTGTATTTTACCTTCTCTGGTCGTATCGCTGGTGTTTTCATTTACTAGTGAGATGAGTCTGTAGATATGACAAACGGAAGATCAGTTGTCACTCAAACATAAAGCAGCAGCTGTGTAGAAATACTGTTTGTATTCAGTCCGGACTGGTTGAGTGTTCATAAACATAATCTCTGTTTTCACCGTTGGCATGCACGTGTTTGGTCTACCTGCATGAGACAAGATCTAGACGAGATAACTCACTGGTCGTCTGTGCTCTCGGCTTTCTTTCCATCGTCGGCCTCTGCTTTAATTTTCTTCTTCCCTTTCTTCTTCGCCAGCTTGTCCATGGGGCCTTGTAAGGTCTGAAAGAACAACCGAGTCACTGATTATAGTTATTGGCCGATTCTCAAGATGGAGAACTACTTCAGATCTCATCTGTGCAGGTCGAGAGGCTCTCTGACCTTAAGAGCGGAGAACTCATAATGCTGACAGCCCTTGAAGCTCTCATGAATGGCCGCCATAGTGTGGGATGTCTTCTCCCAGAAGTGCAAAAGTGTCGTCTGTAACAGCGGAAACGAGCAGAGGCCACATGTTCAGCCGGTCACGGTTAAAGTCACATCGGTTCATTTGTCTCCTCGCCCGGTCCGACAGTTAAAATCTCCATGCAGTGTCTTCGTTCAATGGCGTGTATGCAAATGACTGAAGTTCATTATACCTGATATGTGGTTAAAACGTGAGAGAGGAGGTTGCAGCGACTGGCTCCCAGCAGGTCCACCTTCTGGCAGACGTCATTCTTCAGCTTGTCAAAGCTTGTTTTGGTCGTGCGCACCTGGGCCTGAACCTGAGAGATTTATATGAAGGATAAGAAAATGTCCCAACTGAAGATAAGCAGCCAGTATTATGTGTCGCACGGGTTTAAACGGGGGACACAAACACTGGAGTTCACTTTTGTGCACGTGTCGGCAGAAAAGAGCATGCTGGGTTCTTGATTAGTACAATATATCAATTGACCTACAGTCTGTGGTGTGTTCTGCCCTCTAGTGGCATCATGTTGTAACAGTTGTGGCGCTTGTGTGGCCTTAGGCATTGCAGCAAATATTGGCTTAAACAATTTAGTTACTCATTTAGTTGATGATATTCTGAAAATCTTGATATGAAAATATCTTTAGGTATGAAGCAATAAGACGTCTCTTTCGTGCTCAACAATGTCTGCTGTGAAAAAGCTCAACTTGTCTGACCTAAGGGATTCTGCCGACTTGTACTGTGTGACGGACAAACCTTGCGAAATTTCTCCATCTGTTTGTGAGTGTCTGGATCCAGCTCCTGCGACGCGTCCTTCATCCAGAGCAGCGCCCCGCGGTACTCGGTCCTGGACTGCTCCATCCGGTTCACCGTCAGCCACGTGTCTGAGATCGCCCGGTAGCGAAATGTTTCGACCTCCTGGTACAAACGGCACAGAGGTTTCCTCAGAGCCAATCTGTACAGGGATGAAGAGTTAAATTAGGTATTAAGATCCTGCATGCGACAAGTTTGGCGTCATCATTACCACACAATGTTACTGGAACATAAACTATGTTGGCGTTAAAACCTCTTCTGAACTTTGTAGTACATAATACAGTTTGCGATCACTTGCGTCCATGAGTGAGTGTGCACCTCTGAGTCTGTCCACGGCTAATCTCACATTCTGCTGCAGCAAACTGCACAATATTTTGGGTGGCCACTAATGGCTGCATGCTAAAGGACCTCTCGAGGTTGTGGTGACTCACATTTTCTCAAAACACCTTTTAAATACTTGTTTTATTCTGCCATTGACTGCCTGCTTACTCCTCGCTCACCACTCTTAACCGCTAGTGAGAACATGTATGTTGCATGTAACCTTTGTTGGGAGGAGAAGCAGAGTGCTTTCCCTGTGGCCTGCATGATCTTTCCAGCCCTGGTTTTATCCTGCGAGCCCTGGGAGCGCAGGAAACGACCCAGTTCATTCTCCTCCTGGGAGAGATCTGCATAGTAGAGATCATAGCAAAAGATGGACATTTATGTGGACTCTGTGGACAGTTCATACTTTTTTTTATTATTCGTTTTATTTTTCCACCAAATACTTACAGCAGATCCTCCTCTGGTACTGCTCGATGACCTTTAGCAGCTCCATGCATGTTCTCTGGATGGAGTGGAAGACCTGCAGAGTAGAAAGTCACAATGTTATCATTGTGGAAGTTATTATCAGTTAATAAGACCTGTTATGTAATACACTGCCTGAATATTTTGAGTTATTTTCAAGAAGATAAATAAGAGATATCCAAGTCTATGTGACGCGACACTAAAGCCTTTACGAGGTAAAAATAGAAGAGTCTAAATGTCAGATCTAAGCTGTAAAACAAGCTCTGATCCTGCATGTTAATATCCAGTTATCTAGATGTTTATTGTGGCCCCGGCCTAAAGTAAGGCTGGATGTTCCAGCTTTTATGAGGTATTGATTTCACCCATTAAATTCACTTCACTCCTGAAATGGAGGCATGGATGACGGGGGGGGGGGGGGGGGGGGGG